TTCACTCAGCATTGGATGGGGTGAAAAATACCCTCAAAGGGAGCCCAGCAGGAAGAAGATTGAATTCACTCGCTTTGGGAAAAATAGAAGCGCAACGTCCGGGAAGCAAGAGAAGAAAAGAAGTAATGGGCAGACCAAAGAGCAAACTAGGCCGAGAAAGATGAACGAGGAAGAAAAGCAGAAGGCTGGGAAGCAAGAGAAGGTGATGGGCAGACCAAAGAGCTCATCTGTGGGTTACGTAAGCAGCAATGACTCTTTACACATCACGACATATTTACATTGAGTTAAATATTTTATCGTTATCATTAATTCATTTTCAATTTGCATTGTTTCATGTTAACTTTCTTTTATGGGTTTTCATAACTATTCTGCTTAATCTTGTGGATTTATATGGGTAAAGGGTATATGGTTTACTTTTCAGATTTTGTCCCAGCATATCGCTGATGCTTTTTCAAGAGAAGATAAAATAGATAAGTTGACACCTGTAGAGCAAATTCATTTTTGGAGGAATACGACCAATATAAATTGGAAATTGCTCCACGCTGTCAAGCGTAGCAAGCACCTTCAATGGGATGCTTGCTCCCAGGAGATACATAGGTTGAACAAGAAATTGGAGCGCTATGAAGGGATCGAAAACTTGATTGACCCCGAAGACCTGAAGAAAAATGTGAGGGAACTTATGTCACAAAATGATAGGCATAAAGGGTATGCACAGAGGAAAATAAGAAAGAGTTTTGATTCTAATGATAGGGGTGATATGGGTGATGATGGAATTTGTTTTTATTATGACGATGTAACGAACATTGGTAAGGAAGCTTCTCATATTGCCAAGGCTGTTGCGCAAACAGAGAAGGAGGCAGAGAAAGGTGAATGTCAAGAAATGGAGGTTGCGTATGTGGAGAGAAGGAGGCAGAGAAAGGTGAATGTCAAGAAATGGAGGTTGCGTATGTGGAGAAAGCCGTGCATAGCGAGGAGGATAAGAAAGAGGAAGGAATGTCAAGAAATGGAGGTTGCGTATGTGGAGAAAGCCGTGCATAGCGAGGAGGATAAGAAAGAGGAAGGGAGAGAAGATGAGAAGAAAGAGGAAGAGCAAGAGCTGGAGATGAAAGAGGAAGAGAAGGAGGCAGCGAAGGAGGAATGGCAAGAGATGGAAGTTGAGAATGTGGGGAAAGCTGTGGCTAGTGAGGAGGATAAGGATCAGGTGCAAGTTTATCGGGGACCAAGTACCAGAAAAAGGACTCGCTCACATCTAGTCCGAACCCCTTTCACTGAAGGAAAGAAGAAGGACGGTCGTCCAGATCTAATTAACATATCACCACACAAGGATGAAGAGAGGGAGAAAATCAGGTTCTATTGTAAGCCTGAGGAATGCACTTGGGATTTTCTTGGGAAGAGGAAAATCAAGAAGAAGGAGGAGGCTCTATTGAAGTTGCTAAACGAGGGTATTCCCAACGTTAATGATTTTAGCATACGTGTGATTGATAGTGAAGGAACCTTCGTTCACAACTTGAGAGTGCCTCAGCATATAGCAGCAAAGCTCACACCAGACGAGAACAGATGGCTCTCTCAGTTCTGCAATGAAACAGCCCATCAGTAAGTTTAGACATTCTGATTAACCGTGGTTACAACATGTTAACTTTCATTGTTACATGTTAATGATTATAGGTTTATATTAACTTTCATTATTACATGTTAATGATTATAGGTTTATGTTAACTTTCATTATTACATGTTAATGATTATAGGTTTATGTTAACTTTCATAGTTACATGTTAATGATTATAGGTTTATGTTAACTTATACCTATTTGTGCCAACGTTTGCCAAATCATGTTTATATTTGCAAATCCAGTTAACATATAGCCTGGTTTATGTTAAGATTTGGATCTTATTGTTATGTTTCGGGTCACGTATTATTGTTAAGACATTGAACAGCAGCATTGATTTAACGGAGCTTCTTTCTCTTCTACGTGGCGGGCGTATCGATGACCTTGCAAGTTCAATATGTTACTCTCAATATGTTAATCTTTTACGCAATACTTGGATTTACTGCATGTTGAGATGTTATGCAATCTAATTTGCATCTTCTGTTAACAGGTCATGGAAGCTCTTGTAGATAGGCTCAGCACATGGCTAGAGAGGCCAGAAATTGGTTCTGTTGGCATGAAATATGGGGTCGTGTCAGCATTTTTCTGCGTAAGCATTAGCTTCAAACTCCCAATGTTTTTAACTCCTGTTTACAAATGGCTTATCATTATTTGCTTGGCAATACAGCATAGCATTTATGCAGTGAACCCAGATTACGCTCATTTATACACCTCGTTCACACAAAAGCATGTCGCCGCAAATAAATCAGTACTCCTTATCCCGCTTGTGCGGCATGACCACTGGCATGTTGTTGAAGTAAGGTTGGACGAGGATGTTATCAAGCATTACAGCTCTGCAGGCCACAGTGCATACCTGGAGCCAGTAAATAAAGTAATTGATTTCATGGATCACATAAATGCTGGTTTTGATCCCAATAATGTTTGGAAGAAGTTCCGATATAAAGCCGTCCCTTGCGAGCAACAGCGTGGAATGTTAGTGTTTCACACACTTAAACATTTTCATTTTATTCAGCATCAAATATATAACTATCTTTCCAATGTATATGATGTAGGTTTGATTGTGGGCTTTTCGTTCCTTTATATATAACGGCTATAATACAAGGGACTGATACCAGTCAGGTAACTAATCCCGCTGATGAGGCCGACGTCATCCGTGCCAAGCTTGCAGCTGAACTCCTAATTGAAGGATGAGAACAGAAAAATTACGTGGATGGGCTAGAAAAGGATGGGTGAATGATGTCAGAAAAAGTTATGTATTGTTTTGATTGTTGTGGGAGCAAAACTATCAGGCATATTAATTTAGATGTATAACTAGAGAAAGGTTGTGTAACTGGTTGCTAGTTAAGATGTTATGTGGTATCAAAACTTTTTATTTAACTGGTGGGTAGGTTGGACGAGGAGATGTAAGAAACTGGTTGTTTAACTGGTTGACAACGGAATCTTTGTTGCTAAAATGTTTGAAATGCAATACATAACAGGGCTATAAGGGATGATAGTATATGTCACTGATGTTCCGACACAAAACTTGCATACCACTATCAGTTAGAGTTAACATATAGCTCTGAAACTTAACCACTATACGTAATAGTTAACATGTAGCTCTAAAACTTGACCACTATTAGTTAGAGTTAACATATAGCTCTGAAACTTAACCATTTATAGTAAACGTTAACGTATACACGTGATACTTGACCAAATTCAGTTAGAGATGACAAAGATGATGGATATTAGAACCATACAAAAACAACACAGGAAGAATGAACAAAGTTTCCATTTTTCAACTTCGCGGTTTGCTTGCTTCAGTGCTTTCTTCAACTGCTTTGCCTTGACCGTCATATCATCTTCAACGGGGACTTCTGGCAATCTGGAGTATTCCTACTTTCCATTGCATCTTCACTGTGAGCCCAAGCGAAAAACTTGCATTGCCTCTTTGGGAAATTTGCACATCCCCAGAAGTATCTACCCTTGTTCCTCCCATTTTTGCACTGCCTCATGGGAGTTGGAATGTTACAAAAACAACATACATCTTCCCATGACTGAACACCCTCTGACGTTTTCATCTCGCAATCTCAAGAGGGAATGAAGGGAAAGTTAGAACTTCTATTAAGCTTATAACTTTCCTATGTGCACATTTTATATTGCATAAGGAACAACTTACTAGCCGTTGGAATATGGCTGTTTGAAATGACTGGTTGCTAGCCGTTAGAACAGTGACTAATATGTTGGAGAAGTCACCTATTTAAACTCAAAATCTTGACATGACAGGTGAAGATCTGAAAATGTCTCTCATGCTTGCAGTTTCTATTAACAGCATGAACAAAATGAATCTAACAGGCATTATCACATATTACAAAAGTACAACGCTATATACTTAACAACTTTAAAACCATCTATATGTCTCATACAAAAGTATTGTTGTTAGAAGCTGAAACACACTAGTCACGGATGGGCTCATTGCAGGTTGCTCTATTGTGACCTTCAACTTTGCACCGAGAACATTTGACAGGCCGTTTGTATATGGTTCTGTTGTTTATGCGTCTTGTTCTATTTCTTCCCCTTCTCTTAGTGGTAATTGGTGGCAAAATCTGGATTTCATCCTTGGGCACACTCCGCTTCTCATAGTCTGGTATGGGATATAATATTTCGTCGTAGCTCTTCTTAAACGCTTCTACGGACATGAACCAATCACAATATTGATATACATCTCTTTTCATATAAATAATGACTGCACAAGTATGGAAACAAGGAATACGGAAATCAACGTGAGTGGTTCTATGTGATTGCACTTCGAAAATATCCTCTCTAGATTGCCTAATCTCTAAAGTGCGCCCTTTTTCCATATTTTCTCTAACAATCTGCTCAGCTTTAGGACAAAGATAGCTTGTCCACTTACACGCCATTATCCGTCTGTTGTTCATGCGAGTCATAAGTTGTTTTCAGATATGCTCCACCATTTGTAGGATACGTAACAAACGGGCTTCACGTATCCAGCTGCTAAAGGATTCTGCGACATTAGAGGTTACATGGCCATATCTGCAAAGGACAACATATAGGAAGTATGATGGACATATAATATGTTATCTTCTTAACAAGTGACCATAAAACTTAACCTATACTGCTAAAGGCTAACATAAAAACATCATAGTTAACATATATTGGTGAAAGTTAACATATATCAGCGAAGGTTAACCTATAAAAAGGATACTTCACATATATGCATAACAGTTAACATCAACCGCAAAACGTCATAATGATTGAATGCATACCTAATGCCAGGGAAGAAGACATTTGCCCAATGCTCTGGCGAGTAATTAATTACAATCTCATATGCGACTGGAGCCATCTCATAAATTTCCTTCATGTAGTCGTTCCATTCCGCTATAGTGTATTTATATCAAGCAGTTTGGAGCAAATTCCCCAAAACCTGTGTGTCCTTTGCCTTCATTCCCAAATCCTTGAGCTTTGATCTAAAGTTTTCAACTAGATGCAGAACGCAGCGTGAGTGAATTGCTTTAGGTAAATATTCTCTCACGGCTTCTCGAATCCCCTTGTCGGCATCAGAAATAATTACCAATTGGTGAGGGGGATTGTACGGGTCCAACCTTTCATACAGTATGGACCATAGGTCTTGTAGGAACCATCTCCAATTATCAACATTTTCTTGATCACATATACAATACGCAAGTGGAAATATCCCTTGGTCTCCGTCGTAGGCTATGGCGCTCAGAAGCATGCCTTTATATCTGTCTTTCAAAAAGGTCCCATCCAAAAATAAAAGGGGTCTACACCCATTTAAGAAACCCTGGATGCAAGCAGCATAACATATAAACAGTCTTCTGAACCTTCCTTCATTCTGGTCAATGCAAATGTAGCTTCCTGGATTCGTTTGCTTCACCATTTGCTCATACCTGTACAACAATGCCGCTTCTGGACATGTAAATAAATATAATACATTGGAACATAAGGGTAATATATTAACATTAAAGCGACTACGATAAACATTTGTACACAAGTTATAAATTAACTGTAATATTTACCATCTTAATTGATCATAAGCCTCATAACTATCACCATACATATCCTGCTGCGCTCTTTCTTTGCCCCACCATATGTTACTGTATTCAAGTCTCAATCCAAATCGAGTGAGGAAGTTCTTTTGCACATCAATTGGGCGGATTTCAGGTCGTGCCTTTAATACCGATCGCAATTGGGCTGCTATGAACTTGCGAGATGCTCTTGATTGCCCTGACAAGTTAGAATGTTGTCCGCAACTGTGTTCATTCACAAACCTTTTGATTTTCATTCTTTTATCATTTTTAACAGGAGCTGCAAAGAGCATCCAAGGGCATCCATACGTCTCCTTATATCGACAACAAACGCGGATACGTTTGGGTTCATTCTTTAGAAATTCATATTCAAATTTTTTGGCCATGGAATAGTATTGCAAAGCTAGTCTCAATTCAGTTACGGTTTCAAATTGTTGCCCCTTTTCAGTTAATGCTGTGTGCCACCATTAAGGAATGCTCGAAGTGTTATTGAGAATATCATCAGCCCTCATTACAATCTCACCAGACGGAAAATCAGTTTGGATTCTCTCTGAATTGGATGCATTTCCTGGAGGAGGACAACTATAATCTGCATTCAAAGAGGCATCCCTGTTGCACAATTTAATCAAATAGTGAGATATCCTGCACACTATGTTAAATAATCTTCTTATAATTTAAGTTAACAGCACTATGATGAAAGTTAACAATATGAATGGTTAACACAGCACACCAAAAGTTAACTAACTGGGTGTAAAATTAACCATTTTGAGTAAAACTTAACATAGAGTAGTGGAATTTAACAGACAATGGACATGGTTAACACAGAAAGACGAAAGTTAACATGTTCAAGAAAAGTATAACATGTTCCAATGAGAGTTAACATGTTCATATAATAGTTAACATATATCTTAGATAATTAACCTGTAAGCTGAAGGGTTAAAATGTACCCATCAGCGATGACAACTATTTTTCCCCAAAGTAGCATCGAAACTTGAAATCACAATTTCAACATCCCACATATCCCAGTTTCAAACAAGTTTATTCTATTACTTACAAATCAGTAATAACTTTCTATTTTTTCCTCAGGAGTAGGACACTACTTGGCATCAACATCTTGCATTTTAATCAGAACAATTCTTGTTATTTACTTGCGTTCCAACGTGCACTTCAAATCATGCAGAATATAGCATTATCGCCTGACGGCACCATGCTCATCAACTCTTTGGAACCCGTTGGGGGTTGTTCAAATTTATGACGACAGTTATACGGTTACATTCAGGGGATTTAAAGCCCAGAGGGGTGATTGAAAGTTGACCAAAAGATAACAGTGTTTACATCACACTAAGCATAATGTTGTAAAGAGTTTATTAATTACTTACATTTCGCTAATAACTTTCTGATTCTTCCCTGACGTGGAACACTCTACATTAACAGCAGCCTGCATATGAATCTCTGTACAACCAATATTTCGATTATGCTCCAACATGCACTTCAGGTCATCTTCGTTCTCAACCGAAAAACTCAGGTTGGGGTGCCTCTCAGATTTATATATCAAGGAAAAAGAGCCATACCATATTTCAGTTCATAAAAGCTTGTTGTTGACATTAGCTTCATAAATATGGCATTCTCGCCTAAAGACACCATGCAAATCAAGTCATCGGCGGCCATTGGGTGGTTGGGAGTTATGAGGACAGTTAGAAGACAGTTATGAGGAGGTGAGGAGTAATTGAGGGGATTTCAGCCGCATAAGCGTGGTTGACAGTTGAAGAACATACCCTAATTTCATTAATGAGAGAGTGAGAGCTAGAACTAACCGATTTATAATAAAGGCTGATGAAGCAGCACAGTAATGGAGGGAGCGCGCGCTTTTTTCCCTCGCTTTCCTCCGTCGCTTCGCCTTAAATACGATGGGAGCGGTCGCAGCCAAAGGAGGAACCCATTTAGCCGGTTTTCCTATGAGAGAGATGAGGGTAATTTAGGTATGTTGGTCAAAATACACCCAAGACATGTATATGAATGGGTTTCTAGGACTGGGCCACATTTTTCACTATTTTATGGGGCTAAATGCTAAGGGAATTATTTGCTAGGTCTGGGCCACAACCGGATCTTTTTTTGGGGGCCTTATAAAAGAAGAGTGCGGAAAATGAGCACAAAAAAAACTCTTAAATTCAAGGTGATTCTATCTTATAAAGCCTAAGTTGACTGAGTAATTAAGCTCAAGGAGTATCTCTATACTTAATGAGCTAAGCCCAATTGGGTTGGGATTCATTGACCCAAAACTTGTTAAATAGTCACTTAGCTCTCCCAAAAATCGGCCTCACCCTCGTACGAAGTCCGCCGCCGACGGGAGATCAATACGGCGTCGACCGCCGCCGACGAAGAACCGTCGAACTTCGCCGGGTCTCGTGCTCGAGCCTCAGCCCCCACCCCCGACGAGATCTCGTGCTCGAGCCGTCGAACTTCGCCGGGTCTCTCTGCAGGATCTCTAGTTCGCTCTCTCTCCCAGATCTCGTGCTCTCGCCGTGCCGTCGAACTTCCTCGAGCCACCGACCCGACGAGATCTCGTGCCCAACTCCCCCAGATCTCGTTCGTGCCCAAAAATAGGGATTCGACGCTGTAGGTAAAGATCTCCATCAAAAAAATTGCAATTGTCATACTATCCCTTTTTCCCTATTTGTTAATTGGGATGTCATTCAAGTTGAAAACTTTACAGTTATAGCTTTCGATTGCTGATGTTGCGTAAATGAGAATAAAGTTGAGCAAAATAGACAGATTAGGGATTATGATTTGGGGTGATTTATTCAATTTTGCTATATACAGCCATTAACAGGACTTGAAAATAAATATTGTTTGAATTTAGGAAATGATAATGATGATCACAAATAATTAGCATTATCATTTGGTTGGTTAGCTAATTGAGAAACATCTCATTCAAATTATTGATATGACAGTTTGCTCTTGGTGGCTAGCATTTGAATTTTCTTCTTTCTGATTAGGTTTCTTGGAAACAAGTCTAAATCAAAAGTATGTCACAAATTAACCGCTGTTGAAGACTTTGATTATTGTTTCAGAGCTTAGCACAAATTATAGGAATTTACGTAGAAATTAGAGTGCCCATTTTTGCAGAAAATGGAAAATTCTTCAGTTGATTTTCAGTTGAATTGTCAGAGCTTAGCACAAATTATAGAATTGTAGAATAAGAGTATGCCCATTTATGTTGATTTTCAGAGCTTCAGTTGATATTCAGTTGATATTTATGTAGAAATTAGAGTGCCCATTAATGTTGATTTTTAGAGCTTAACATAAATTTTCAGAGCTTAGCACTCCTTTACATTACAATTTACTCAGAAAAAGTTTTCCTATGTCTCTTTCCAGTACATGTTCATGTTAAATTGCTCAAAATTTGTAGATTGAAATGGCTTCATCATCAACTGTGGAAGGTAACTCATGTGTTGAAGTGGATATTAGATTCATATTGAAACAATGCGATTGTGGAGAATTAGCAGATATGAAGATAACGAAGTCGAACAAGAACAATAACCGTGGTAGAATTTACTACTCGTGTAAAAGGCAAAAGTGCGGTTCATTTTTGGGCTGGTGCAAGATTTCATCAATTGAACAAATACCATTCGTCATTGCCCCACCAGAGGCTCGTGAGTTGGTTGTTGTACGTGAAAAAGTGTTGTGGAAATGGCTAACTATTATAGCTTTTTTGTTGTCTTTTTGTTTGGCCATGAAAGAAATTATGTGATGTAAACGATTTGTGGGAATGAAACAAGACTTTGTAACTGCTGTTGTTTTAACAATTGTCATCGGCTAATGCAATGAAAAGTTAAATGTTTAACTGTTGTTGTTTAAATGTAGACAGAAATGAGTTCATTTCCTGCCCTCAGTAATCAAACTGGATCTTTGAAGATCAGTAGTCCCAAAGTACCTAGGCAATCATTGACACTCTTTTTCTGATTTGTGCGCTAGAAATGGCTAACTAGTTCTAGGAAGCAGTATCTAGTTAGGTAACCTGCACTCTTGGACTTTCAAGGTTCTAGTTCCGTAAATAATGTCACTACCTTATATGTGTAGGTTTTCTAGGTACAGACAATGGAGATTTTCTTGTAAGGAGATTATAGAGGTTGAGTGGCCTTTGATTCTGCTAGTTCCAGAAGTTTAGTGGCATAGAGATGAAAGTATCATTAAGAGCATAAATATTAATAGCATTCGGTTGGAAAGAGCATAAATATTATGTAGCATTAAGAAAAATGTAATGAAAGTATCTCTCTTCAATGATGTATTCAATGATAGTCCAAGGATTCTTCTATGTGTTGTGCATCATTAATAAAAATCTAAGAAGTATTCAAAGATATACTCCAGGATAGCCATATAGTAAAACCCCTCTTGTTAAGAGGATATCTCCCTAGAAGCCAATGAAACAGTTAGACAAATACAAATTCATTCTCCAAGCTACAATAAGAAGTATGATCAATGCCATGAAATAAGATAAATACATCAAAAGCTAAGCATTCCAAAACAAAAGGACCCAACTTTGATATGAAAGCCAACAACTTTGAGAAACGTAGGGAGAAATTAAGTAGCAATCCTTACAATCAACAATTCTTACAACATTCTACTTGCGCATGAGTTGATTAAAAATTATGGGAGGAAGCATATTTCACCTAGAGTAATGCTCAACATTGATATAAGGAAAGCGTTTGATACATTCAGCTGGGAATTTCTGGAGGATATGCTGCAGGGCCTGGGTTTTCCTAGTAAGATGACAAATTGGGTTATGGCTTGTATCTCTACTCCAAAGTATTCAATTTCTTTAAATGGATCCCTCCATGGCTATTTCAAAGGGGAGAGGGGACTGAGGCAAGGTGACCCTTTATCACCTTATTTGTTCATCTTAGGGATGGAATACTTATCTAGGAGATTGGATAAGTTAAAGAATGAAAAGGACTTCAAGTATCATCCTAGATGTAGGAAGTTAAATATCACCCATCTTGTCTTTGCGGATGATCTTCTTTTATTTGCAAAAGGAGATATTCTCTCGGTGCAAAATTTGAATCAATGCTTGAGTGATTTCAGTGCTGCCACAGGACTTGAAGCCAATCCTGAGAAGAGTTCAATATTTTATGGAGGTGTATCTGATACTATCAAAACATCAATTGGAGACTGTCTGGGTTACAAAGAAGGGGTATGGCCAATCAAATATCTTGGAGTTCCTTTGTTATACAAAAGACTATCCTATGTAGACTGCCTCCCCCTCCTCAATAAGATTTCTAGTCAATTTCAGAACTAGATGAAGTGCAGAACTTTATCATATGCTGGAAGAATTCAGGTGATAAAAAGTGTGATACTTGGAGTTCAAATCTATTGGACTTCCAGTTATATTTTACCTATGAAAGTGCTCCATAAAATTGATGAACTATGCAGAAATTACTTGTGGGGGAATAAGGATCAGTCACTCAAAACTGCTCTTGTCTCATGGGATAAAATATGCTTATCAAAGGATCAAGGAGGCCTGGGTATTTTCTCTGCAGTAATATGGAATAGAGCCTCAGCTTTGAGGAATTTATGGTATATACATGTCAATAAAGAGCTGTTGTGGATTAGATGGATTCATGGAAACTACTTAAAAGATAAAAGCATTTGGCAAGTGCAGGCAAAAAATGGGGATTCATGGACATGGAAACAAATGTTGAAGACTAGAGACAGTTCTTTGATTCACTGTGGGGGGGAAGCTAACCTAAGTCACCTTATTGCTTCATGCTATAAAAACACCAAGTTTCATCTCTCTTCCCTGTACAGGATTCTTTCCCCCAATGTCAGCAAGGTGAAATGGCGAAATACTGTTTGGGGGGATATGAACTATCCAAAGCATTCTCTAATTTGTTGGCTTGCTATCCAAGATAGGTTGCTAACAGAGGATAGGCTGATGCGGAGGAATATTGTGACAGAAAACAATTGCTGCTTATGTTCAAACTCTGGTTTGGAGAGCAGGGACCACTTATTCTTTAGTTGTCCTTTTTCAAGTGAAGTTTGGAATCAAGTGATGAATTGGTTGCAGTTTAAATGGAAGTCTTGCAGCTGGAGATGCCTCCTTGACTGGTTCTGTACCAAGATAAGAGGTAAAGGGAACAAAACGAAAGTAAAGAGGCTGGCTTTTACTTCTACACTGTATAAAATCTGGTGTGAACGCAACAGTAGGATCTTCAAGCAAGAGTGCAAAAGCAAGGATCAGTTGGTGAAGGAAATCAAAATGGATATATTAATCATTACTCTCAACAGCTCCCTACCGGAAGATTTTAAAGAATGGATCAGTTCCCTATAAATAGCTAGAAGGATGAACTTTCCTGATACTTTGTAAATTTGATATCTCACATAGGAGGATCTTGATGTTCTTAAACTCATTACATTTGGTGAATGAATACAATATTTTCATTGACAAAAAAAAGGATACATAGAGGGGGGAAAAATAGAATAAATAAAAGTATAGTACACATTGAATTGGCCATGTCTCCATTTTCAATCCCATTAAGACTTGTTTCCATCACACATTTGTTCAAGTCAAGTTGGCGGAGTCTAGGCCTGTCTATTCGGCCCGGTCCGAAAAATCGGGCCCGGTGGCCCCGGGCCCGGGCCTGACTGGGCCAGGTTTTGTCTGTTTTCTTTATTTTTTTTAAAATTTTTTAAAAATTTTAAAAATCTTTTTAAAATTTAAAATATATATAAAAATTACAAAAAAATACAGAAAATAAAAATAAAAACAATCATATTATTAATAACTTGAAAGGACATAAATTATAAATACAAAAAAATTATAAAAATAAAAGATGATAAAAATAACTTCTTTATTAATAATCAGTAAATCTTTTACAAGTATAATTTATTTCGGAATTCGTCGTATCACAATAGATGAGTACATCCCAACTAGGTTGGCACCTACTCACCTATATCACTATTATTTGCAACTATTTCCAAAATAATGCATTATACATTTAAAGCTAAGACATAAAAATTACAATTTGATGAATATTGTTTAATCTTTATATCTATCTGCTAGTCACAACTCTTCAAATTTATCTTTAATTCTAGTCATCCGATCGATGCCTTGCGTTCGCTTCTCGTACCTCCACCAATCTTGTAAGCACATTACCGCTTGTAAAGTATATGGATCTAAGCATGTCCTATGATCGTCAATCAAACGTCCTGCTGTGTTGAAGGCGGATTCCGAAGCTACCGTCGAAACCTGTACTGTTAATAAGTCACGAACCATGGTGGAAAGTATAGGATATGAAACTGATCCATATACTTTCCACCATTGCAAAATATCTAAAGCATTTCCTTGACATCTAACTAAAGAAGCAGAAAAATATTCATCTATTTCAGAAACATCTAATCCTGATGAAGTTCCAGATCCACCAGTTAGTTCAGCTACCATTGCATACCTATCAAAACTTACACTTTTACCTCGACCTGTGCTCGAAGCTGAAGGTGCCGAAGCTGAAGACTGTTGTGTAGCTACACCATATCTAGCTGCATACTCATCATATAAGGTTTGAAAATAATTTCTAATAGCTAAATAATGAGTAGTAGCAGTAAGGGTGGATCCATCATCTAAGTCTATAATCTGTCCACCATACAATGATTGTAACAAACTTCGAAGGCCAATTTCCTTCAAGCATGGATCAATAAGAACACCAATACCAAAAATATGAGGAATAGGCCTAAAATACTTATTAAATTTACTCTCCATTTCAAAAATTATACTTCCAAAAATATCATCCATACGATATTTTGTAAAAAAATTTTGAATATTTAAAATTTGTAAAGCAGCTAAAGTAATAGTTGGATAATAACAACCAGATAATAACATAGTAGCATCATAAAAAACTTGTAACATCTCATTTAATTTACATATAACTGTCCATTCATCTTCAGTTATTCCATAAGCACTACCAGAGCTAGAACTAGAAGCATAAAAATTTATAAAATCATTTATAATTTCTTTATATTCTATTGCTACAGATAACATTGCATAGGTGGAATTCCACCTATGGCCCGACCCGGCCCGGCCCGGCCATAACGGTCACAAAGGTGACCGTTGCCCAGCCCGGCCCGGGCCAAATCTGGCCTAACGGCCAGATTTGGTCTTTTGACCGTTTTGCCCCTTAAAACGGTCAAAAAACGGCTATTTTTCGAGGGTTTTTTGGTCATTTACCTAGGGGGCTGCTTCTATAAATAGAGGGGGGGTTTCAATTCATTTTCTCACAACAAAACTCATCTATTTCTCTCTCTACTACTCTCTTATACAATCTTATACTATCTCATACTAATATACTATCCTATAATCTTTTGTATTTTCTAATACTTCCAACAAATGGCTTCTGGGTCTGATTATGAAGAGCAACATGCAACTCCTACCGATCCAGAGATGAGTCCTCCTACAACAACTCCTCATCCTACCGGTGTTAATCCTGAATCTGGTGGCGACGAATCTACGGCACCAAGAGCTCCAAAAAGGCCGAGGTCTGATGTATGGAATTTTTTTGAGAAGATAGACGTCACCAAGGATGAACACGGTAGGATCATCTCTCAGAATGCGAAATGTGCGTTGTGCGGCCAGATATTCAAAGCTCATCATAAGAGCGGCACCAACCATCTCAAACGGCATATTGAAAAACACAACAAAGGCCAAAATCTACAAGGTGATATCCGGCAGTCTATGCTTTCCCAATCATCCTCTTCAGGTACCCTCGGCAGTTGGAATTATGACGCTGCCCGAGCCCGGAAATGCGTAATCAGGTTTATTGTTCTTAAAAACCTTCCTTTTAAATTAGTAGAAGATGATGAATTTGAAGATTTATTTAGAGATGGTTTTTATCCTGCATTTACAAAATTTTCTCGTCAAACCTGTCAACGTGATATTTTAAAATATTATGTTGAGGAACAGGGAAAAATAATTTCTTATTTTAAAAATTTAAACTGCAAATTTTCTTTAACTTCTGATATTTGGTCATCTAGAGTGCAAACTGGTTATTTATGTATAACAGCACACTGGATTGATGAAAGTTGGAAAATGTTTAAAAGAGTTGTTTCTTTTATTGCAATTGAAGAGTCACACACTGGTATTAATGTTGCAAATTTAATTGTTGAAGAACTTATGAAACTAGAAATTGATCAAAGAATATTTACTCTTTCACTAGATAATGCAAGTAATAATAATGTAGCTGTTGATTTTCTGAAAATAACTTTGTCATTGCCATGTCATGGTGAGCTTTTTCATGTTAGATGTATCTGTCATATTTTAAATTTAATTGTTCAAAGTGCATTTTCTGAAATTAAACCCATGATAGAAAAAGTTAGAACAGTTACTAATATGCATAATGCTTCTGAAATGAGAATTAAAAGATGGAAACAATGTTGTAAAAGAAAAAATTATAAGCCTAGACTAATTCCAAAAGATGTTGACCATAGGTGGAATTCCACCTATGCAATGTTATCTGTAGCAATAGAATATAAAGAAATTATAAATGATTTTATAAATTTTTATGCTTCTAGTTCTAGCTCTGGTAGTGCTTATGGAATAACTGAAGATGAATGGACAGTTATATGTAAATTAAATGAGATGTTACAAGTTTTTTATGATGCTACTATGTTATTATCTGGTTGTTATTATCCAACTATTACTTTAGCTGCTTTACAAATTTTAAATATTCAAAAAAATTTTACAAAATATCGTATGGATGATATTTTTGGAAGTATAATTTTTGAAATGGAGAGTAAATTTAATAAGTATTTTAGGCCTATTCCTCATATTTTTGGTATTGGTGTTCTTATTGATCCATGCTTGAAGGAAATTGGCCTTCGAAGTTTGTTACAATCATTGTATGGTGGACAGATTATAGACTTAGATGATGGATCCACCCTTACTGCTACTACTCATTATTTAGCTATTAGAAATTATTTTCAAACCTTATATGATGAGTATGCAGCTAGATATGGTGTAGCTACACAACAGTCTTCAGCTTCGGCACCTTCAGCTTCGAGCACAGGTCGAGGTAAAAGTGTAAGTTTTGATAGGTATGCAATGGTAGCTGAACTAACTGGTGGATCTGGAACTTCATCAGGATTAGATGTTTCTGAAATAGATGAATATTTTTCTGCTTCTTTAGTTAGATGTCAAGGAAATGCTTTAGATATTTTGCAATGGTGGAAAGTATATGGATCAGTTTCATATCCTATACTTTCCACCATGGTTCGTGACTTACTATCAGTGCAGGTTTCGACTGTAGCCTCGGAATCCGCTTTCAGCACAGCAGGACGTTTGATCGACGACCACAGGACATGCTTAGATCCGTATACTGTACAAGCGGTGATGTGCTTACAGGATTGGTGGAGATACGAGAAGCGAACACAAGGCATCGAACGGATTGCTATGATTGAAGATAAATTTGAAGAGTTGGGACTAGCAGATAGATATAATGATTAGATAATATTCATAAAATTGTAATTTTGTTTTCTTAGCTTTAAATTTGAATTAAATTATTTCGAAAAAAGTTGCAAATGATAGTGATATGGGTGAGTAGGTGCCAACCTAGTTGGGATGTACTCATCTATTGTGATGCGACGAATTTCGAAATAAATTTATACTTGTAAAGGATTTGTAAAGGATTTACCGATTATTAATAAAGAAGTTATTTTTATCATTTTTTGTACTTGTAATTTATGTCATTTCATTTCAAGCTATTAATTAAATTTATGACATTTTTTATAATAATTTATGGTTTATGGTTTTGTTAAAATTAAAAAAAACAAAAAAAATTTCTAAAAAAAAATCAAACCGGGCCGGCCCGGTGTCCGGCCCGCTCAGGCCCGGGCCCGGGTCCGGGCTTGGGTTTTGCCCGGCCCGGGCCTGGTTTTCCGGGCCGGGCCGGCCCGGGCCGGCCCGGATGGACAGCCCTAGGGGGAAGCTAACCTAAGTCACCTTATTACTTCATGCTATAAAAACACCAAGGTTCATCTCTCTTCCCTGTACAGGATTCTTTCCCCCAATGTCAGCAAGGTGAAATGGCGGAATACTGTTTGGGGGGATATGAATTATCCAAAGCATTCCCTAATTTGTTCGCTTGCTATCCAAGATAGGTTGCTAACAAAGGATAGGCTGATGCGGAGGAATATTGTGACAGAAAACAATTGCTGCTTATGTTCAAACTCTGGTTTGGAGAGCAGGGACCACTTATTCTTTAGTTGTCCTTTTTCTAGTGAAGTTTGGAATCAAGTGATGAATTGGTTGCAGTTTAAATGGAAGGCTTGCAGCTGGAGATGCCTCCTTGACTGGTTCTGTACCAAGATAAGAGGTAAAGGGAACAAAACGAAAGTAAAGAGGCTGGCTTTTACTTCTACACTGTATAAAATCTGGTGTGAACGTAATAGTAGGATCTTCAAGCAAGAATGCAAAAGTAAGGATCAGTTGGTGAAGGAAATCAAAATGGATATATTAATCATTACTCTCAACAGCTCCCTGCCGGAAGATTTTAAAGAATGGATCAGCTCCCTGTAAATAGTTAGAAGGATGAATTTTCCTGATATTTTGTAAATTTGATATCTCACATAGGAGGATCTTGATGTACTTAATCTCATTACATTTGGTGAATGAATACAATTTTTTCATTGACCAAAAAAAAAACAATTCTTACAACGTTCCACATTTTTGAAACAAGCAACAACAATCCTTACAAGTTACATCAACAAACCATAACAGCAATAATCAACATTTTGAAAGGCATCCCCACTTTTTGCTGCTGCATCAACAGCTTTTCAACCATCAACCTCTGCCCTTAACAGCTGCTGCATCAACAACTTGCATCAACAACTTCTGTACACATATGCCAATGCAATGAATAAGTCATTTGTTTTTATACACTTAGCCTATGTCTGTTATTATGAAAAGATAAAGAATTGAGTATAAAGGGGCTTACTTCTTGATAAAACAAATTTCTGCACCACTCCTCGGGTTCATTCAAAAATATTCACATCCTCCCCATCTTCACTTGATATCTCATTACCCTCTTGCAAATTCACATCAACACATGTAGAAGACCTACATTATGTTAAAAAATATATATATATATCAAGAGAAATACTAGAATGTGAAAAATAAGACAACATAAAGAATAAAAGAATTATTACTTACGGATTTGTGAGTGCTGGAAAATTTCGCTTATCATGTGATTGGCCTACTTTACCACACCCGTGACAACGTCTCTCTCTTTTATTCTTGACTCTTGCCATTGCTTTCTCTTTTCCTCCTTTCAACCTTTGGCCGCACCCCTTTGCTCACACTTGATTGGGTTCATTGAAACTATTTTGAAAAGTGCAAGAACCATGCGCACTAGTAACATCACCATCACCTATCATATGGCTACTAAGAAATTGACTTATTTGCTCATTAATGCTACGCAAACCATCGGTAAACATCGTCCTTGTTTCTTCACATACGAGGGACTTGTCAACTAAATCCAAAGATGATTGGATAAATTGACTCCGCAATAAAAGATAAGAATTGTCAGAGGTTATCTGCATGCCTTTATTATCAATCACTGTCCCTGATTTTGCAGACTTAGTCCACCTCTTTAAGATGTATTTATCGGGCAATATTTCAGCATCAAACTTCATCATATATGAGATAATGTGCGTACATGGGATTCCGGCGCTTTCGAACTTTTTACAACTACAAGAAACCAAATCCAAGTCCTTGTCATAAACGATTTCGCGGACTTTACTTGCTACAAGCTTCTTTCTTTGAATTTGATACACATAGTGATTGTCAGTTTCCCTAACACATTGCAACTTGTAGTTAAAGCTGTCACACACTTCAGCCTCAAACTTGTAATACATCTCATTCGTGTAAATATCAACCATTTGCTCCAAAAAGTCATGATTTATTCTAAGTTTAGGTTTCTCAATTACATCTTTGTGATCGGCCATCAACTCCTCGTGACGTTGGCGCACTACTCCCCTATCAAACTGAATCATGAAATCCACTAATGAATTATTCTTCGAAACAAATTTCTTGAAAAATGCATGTCCACTTTCTGCTCGTTGACTACTTGACATGTCAGCTGAGAATACGTGATTAACATATGCTGGAATCCATCTTGACCGAAGTTCATATTGGTCTTGCAACCATTTGTTTTCTTCTAACCCACTCTTCTTAATCAGACTTTTCCATTGTAAATCAAATTCTTCATGAGTCTCCGATTTCCAAATGCAAGCCGAAAACTCACTCTTATAAATACTATACTTCACTGCATCAATTTTCTCAGAAAACTTTATTAATATATGCCAACTACAATACCTGTCAAAAGAAATTTCTAAAGTGTTAAAAAAATAGACAATGTATATAAATATTATTTGAAAGAAAGACAATGTATACAAACTATATTACCTGTGAAAAGTATTTGGAAGAACAAGAGGGAATGCCTTAGTCATAGCTGGATCTTGATCGGTAATAATCATCTTCGGGGCACCACCAGGCATACTTGCCAAAAACTGATTAAATAACCATACAAAATCATCAACGCTCTCATGATTTAAAAATCCACAAGCAAAAAAGAATTGTCTAACCGTGATTGTTAACCCCCATTATTGGTGCAAATATTAGGCCATATCGATTAGTGTTATAAGTGGTATCAAAGATTACAACATCACCGAAAAAACTGTAAGCCCGCCTTAAAGTTGCATCAGACCAAAAACAACGAGTAATCTTTTGTTCCTCATCAGCCTCAATTTGAAAAGTAAACGAGGAATTCTTTCCTTGTTCCAATTTTAAATAATTATAAAACATTTCACCATCATGCCCCTTCATATCAGCATGTATATCCCTTTCATGATTATACAAATCTCTTTGAGTGCACCCAATATTTTCTATACCTCCAGATTGTACTCCAAGAAAACTAAATTGTTGATGCTGAGGTATATTCGCCATGGAGAACTGTTTACTTAAAGACTTTGTTGCGGCTGAAACGTTACGGTGGGACCTTAAAAGATGAACCTTCGATGGCGTTGATAGAGGGTGGCTGTGCTCCTTATTAAAAACAGTAACAATGTATTTTCCGGAGTTTGATTTTAAAACTGCAATTTTGGCATGACAATCCTCTGCTAAGCTTCCTCGACGTCTTTTATTTTCAACATCCGCGATTCTTGAAGATTTTCCTTGTTTAAAACAAACATACTCCTTCCTTTTTATTGCACCACTTCCCGGCTCTTTCTGAGTAGTCCAAGCCCTTACACTAAACCCAGCTGTTTTTGCATAAGTATTGTAGAATGTCACAACATCATCAATTGTGTCAAATTCTTGCCCCTTTTTTGGCCTTAACTCATCTGATACTTGAGGAGTATATATCGAACTATCGTCATTCAAGTTTTCCATTTCTCAAAAAAATTGTAATTGACCTATATAAAAACGAAGTTACATGTCAAATACACAAAAACGAAGTTACAAGTCAAATACACAACAAAAGTCACCAGTTCTATCCAAACGTCATGCGGACTGCAGAGTGAAGGAAACAAAATATATGCAAGTTATGGAAGTAAAATACAAAAAAACGAAGGGGAATATGTCAAATAAAACGACAACTGAAGCAAATAATTGCCATTGTCCTGCTAGTCTTCACCAACATAGACTCATAGCTCTCAATTTGATATGAATTATTATCAGCAATTTGACATAAATTCCTATAATTTCGGAAGTAAAATACAAAAAACGGAGGGGAATATGTCAAATAATTTAACGACAACTGAAGCAAATAAATTTGACATAAATTCCTATAATTTGATATGAATTATTATCATCAATTTGACATAAATTCCTATAATTTCTACACATAAATTCCTATAATTTCTACACAATCAAAGGATTTGAACAATTATTGATGGAGATCTTTACCTGCAGCGTCGGATGCCGTGTTTTGGGGCTTGAGGGAGATCGTGAAGTTCTGATCCCGTCGGCGGCGAGAGTTGGGCACGAGATCTCGTCGGGTCGGCAGCTCGAGGAAGTTCGACGGCACGACGAGAGCACGAGATCTGGGAGAGAGAGCGAACTAGAGATCCTGCAGAGAGACCCGGCGAAGTTCGACGGCTCGAGCACGAGATCTCGTCGGGGGTGGGGGCTGAGGCTCGAGCACGAGACCCGGCGAAGTTCGACGGATCTTCGTCGGCGGCGGTCGACGCCGTATTGATCTCCCGTCGGCGGCGGACTTCGTACGAGGGTGAGGCCGATTTTTGGGAGAGAACAAGATGGATTTGAGTCACCAAGAATTAAAGAGTGAAAAATATATATACATAACACTAACCATTTTATATATATATTGTTATTTTGTATATATGGTCTTGAAAAATAATTTTTGATCAAGAGACTTGAAAGTTATTTAAAACAAAGAGTTAGCATGTTTTTTTCAAAATTTTTAAATTAAATTTCTAAGATTTGACTTGGTTTTGTATTGCTATAATGAGAAGATTTTCTAGGAAATTTACCTTGGAGTTATATATAAAAAAAACTTTCTTGAGTATTAACTAGCTTAAATTAAGATGTATAAATATATCAAAGAAAATTAGTTATTTACTGACTTCTTTAACTTGGCAAGTTGACCGAATTTTGTGGGTATATTCACTACGAACCCTCACGAGACTACAACTAGTCTACTAGGGTAACCTAGGAGTTTAAATGCTTGTTGTATGCGCTAAATACAACTGCGATTCCTGCGAAAGTGAGTTAGGATTTTCTTTTTATTTCCTTGCTAAAGGACTAGCAAAAGTTTAGGTGTGAGGGTATTTGATAATAATATTTTATTTTAATTTTATACCCTTATTATCTATTTTATATGAATAAATATGCCACTAATAATTGTTTTTATCTTTAAATGCAGGTTAATAAAGAATAAATCCCAAAAATTCCATCTCTCAACAAAGGCCCCTTGATTTAATGAAGAAAAGTCCAAAGCTAAAAAGAAGAAAAAAATGCCAAAGCCAAAGCCAAGAAGAAAAAATGCCAAAGTCCAAAATCCCAAGCCCAAATACAAGAGCAGCTGTGAACATCACATTGGAGAGGACCCCACATCGATGCCAGCATCGATACGCCTATCGATGTTAACATCGATACCATCGACCAGGCAGTTACAATCCAAAGGCTTAAATTTGTTGTTTTTGGATAAGATTTCAATTCAAGGGCTCTTATTCACTGATGTTTACTATAAATAGGGGTAGAGAGTGAGGGGTTAGAGGTGTGAAAAATTTTATAACTCCATTTGGAGAGGAGGGTTACTCTTAATTGAGAAGAACTTTCAAATTTATAACTTTTGTTACAATTAATAAAAAAAAATTCTCCACTTCAAATCTTCTTCTCTTTGTTGGATGATGATGATGGAGATGAAAAAAAGTTTGAAGGTTTACAATTTTTTTATTTTTCTCTTTTATTTCTTTTTAGTAATTTCTTTATTATTGTTTATTAGTTAGATTTACATTTATTATTGTTTATTAGTTAGATTTACATTCATGCTTGTAGTGTAGATTTATTTTCTTGTCTTTTTATTTCTTTTTGTAGTGTAGATTTATTTTCTTGTCTTTTTATTTCTTTTTGCACTTTAATTTGTAGAGTAGATTTATTTTCTCGCATTTAATTTTTGTAATTTATTTTGTAGTTTAGATTTTAATTCTTTGTAATTAGATTTATTTCTTGTTCATAGTTTAGAGATTTTTCTTTTCTTTTTATTTTTGTAATTAGTTCTTTTTCTTCTTGTTTTTATTTCTTAAGATGTAAAATTAATTCTTGTAGGAATCTTAGAATTATATGAAACTAGTCTAATTTCCTTTATATTGTATGAATTATTCTCTTGCACTTAAAATATTCATGTTTAGGATAATCAACTAGAAAACTAATTGGTAGAAGAAGAATTTGATAATCTATGCTTATCTTAAATTGTTTGATAGATTATGCTTTTGAATTCTAGGATTACTATCTTGTTGTTGTTCTTATCGTGAATTGTAATTTTGACTTAGATGATAATTTGATAGGTTATACTTTCCTTGAATGGTTTGATAATCTATGCTTAATAAATCTAAATTGAAATATGACAAAAAGAGAATAGTTTGTATTTAATAATTAAGATTAGCTAGTGGATTTAATTCTAGATTTCTCATATCTTTAATTGAACCTTCCATCTTTTATTTTCTTGATTTTTCTCTTTCTTGCTTTTTATTCTATTCTTTGATTCTTACTTCTCTTCGCTAAAATTCAATTTATTGTTACTTGCACATATTCAAAACAATCACTCTCACTCATCATAACTCTCACATTTATTCTTTAATTCTATTTTGTCACGCACACAACATAAGAACCAATTCTAATAATCTCTTAAAATCACCTTCCTCGTGGGATCGATAACTTTTTATACTATAACTTGATCAATTGTGTACTTGCAATTTTGGTACATAATTATGCCGCATCAGTAGCCTCTATATATAGTAGAACTGAGATAATTGGTAAAGTGGGATAATTTTTTAACACTGGGATAATTTAGTGGAACAACAATGGATAATTCTTGAAGTTGAATAATTTGGTGGGATAATGATGGATAATATTATGAAGGGGATAATTTGATAGGATAATTTGGTGGGGTTAACGGCGGGTATAAATTATTATTGTTAATAATTGTATATTAAAAATAATATAAGATTGATAAGCAATTGATTACTCTAATAATAACTATAAAATATAATGCAATAAAGCATCACTATTCATCTCAAATAATAAAATATTTTACAACTAAATAAAAATCTAAATTCCTAGAGTGACTCGATTCCCATCATCCCACATGACCTCTGCCATAGAATTTCTCCAAGCTCACGCATCTGCTCGTTGAGTCTGTTGAGTCTGTAACTCATCTTCTTCATCGGAGTTATCATATGTATCAGCAACATTTCGTGGAGATTCTAGTGGAAGATCATAAATGTCGAAGTCATCATTCGTATTCTCCAATCTTAAAAAGTTATGCAATCCTACGCATGCAACGAACATCTTTATTTGTGTGGCATACGAAAAACCTGGAGGTTGGCTCTTGAAAATAATGAATCTAGACTTAAAAACTCCAAAGATGCGCTCGACACAATTTCTAAGAGACGCATGCCGATGGTTAAAAACTTCTTTTGAATTTCGTGGTCGTTGTCGATTATTAGCAGGGCCTAACTCTAAAAGATGGTACCTTTGACCTCGGTATGGAGCAAGAAATTGTAGCTTATTTGGATAGCCGCAGTCAACTAGATAAAATTTATCTGCAAACAAGAATAATAACATGAATGAGAAAAAATATTATAAAACTAAAAAATATTCTTTAATTGATAGAATACTATGTAAGGATTATTACTCTGTGGAAGCAGAAGTCCATAAGGTCTACTCATTGCATCCTTCAAGACTCTTGCATCATTAGCAGAACCCTCACACCCAGCTAAGACATAAATGAATTTGAGATCAAATGTGCAAGCTGCCAAGACGTTCAGAGAGAGAAAACCATATCTATTTCGATAGGGCGTCTGATCTCTGTTATACACCATGCACGGTATATGAGTCTCATCTATTGCACCGATACAGTCCTGAATAATCAATGTGTCAGACCATCTCAAGTGATGTGTGTAGGCCGTGGACGCATGTGTGCACATGTGTGTGTCTCTGTGTGTGTAAAATCTAAAGCAATAATAATTACATTGAAATAAGGCCAAAAGCAAGATTCTGATTTAACCTTATCAGGTGGATCAGTAAGGGGTGATTCCATCAAGCATGATGCTAAAGATACCAAGGCCTGTAATGCTTTATTGAAACATACACTGATGGTCCATTTTGAACGATCAAATCGATCAGTTGCAACAGAGTATCGTTGATTTTGACTAACCGTGAGAAGAAAAATAGCAATCATCTCCTCAACACTAATGTGGTATGTGTCTTGTATATGGCCCCGTTCTATTGTAGGCATTAAAAAATGCCAAATTTCAAAATATGAGAAGGATGGTCAGGAAGACGAACCTCGTCTCAAACAGAGACGAGGCTCATCGTTTAGTGAAAATCAACCTCGAGAACGCAGGTCGCCGAGCAGTAAAACTCAACAACAAACAATGAAACTTGTCATTGGAAACGATGTTCGACATTCATCTTCGAAAGATGAGGTTCATCAGTGAAGATAAAGCTCATCGTCTGACTTGAAGCTCGTCAGCGAAGACGTGGTTCGTCTGAGGGAAAGTCACCAGGTTTACTACACAGTTGGACCCAGCTATCGAAGACGAAGTTCATTGGCAAAGATGAAATTCATCAGATGAAGTCAGTGAAGACAAAAATCGTCAGAAGAAGCCTATGTACTGCAAAGTATACTTTGTAAGACGAACCTC